GCAAAAATTCTTAAATTTTTGCATTTTTGTTCCATTTGTGGGTTTTGTTCTTTCTTGTGTATTCATGGAGGTAATTATTGTTTTTTTGGATTCCAGGTGCAGGACTCCCTTGAGGATTTCTTGTAGGGCTGGTCGTGTAGTGGTGAACTCTCGTAATTTTTGTTTGTCTGAGAAATACACTATTTCTCCTTCATTTCTGAAAGATAGCTTAGCAGGATATAGTATTCTTGGCTGGCAGTTTTTTTCTTTTAGTATTTTGAATACATCATTCTACCATGCCATCTCTCCTTAGCCTATTCCTGTTATCTTTCCTACACAACCTATTCCTCTTGTCAAGGTTATTTGTGCCCTTTATTCTTGGAACTCATATCTTGATTAAGGAATGTCTTGTAAACCACTAATTATAGGCAACATGAGAAAAGCTTTAACAGAGAAGGCACTGTCCACACAGAGAATGTTTAGAGATTCAAGTTCTAATACCTGTGATAGGAAACCCAAGGTTAAAGGTATTATTCGGTAATACCTATATAGTAAACATATTGGTAAGTCTATTTTGTTAAACAGGTAACTGGAGATATGTCAATAGAGTGTTCTATGCTGCTGATAAGCTCAGACTTTACTAGTATTATTCGGTAATACCTATATAGTAAACATATTGGTAAGTCTATTTTGTTAAACAGGTAAGTGGAGATATGTCAATAGAGTGTTCTATGCTGCTGATAAGCTCAGACTTTACTATGTGCTTTCAATTTTTATTCATATTAAAGTTTTTTGATTTTTCATTGTCTTCAAGTCATCATTTCAAGCTTTGTTCTTATTTAGTCACTGTGAAATGAAATTTTATATCATAAAATGTCCTTGAAAATAGAAACTTCTTACTATGATACTAATGTTTTATTTTCTAGTCTTAAAACATTATCGTTTTTAATTTACATTTCTTATGTATACTCATTTAATAACCAAGTTTAAATTCAGTAATCACATTTTCCCTTAAGCTTTGATTAGAACAATTATAGTAAATGAAAATAAGAAAGCAATTTCCACAGAGATTCATAAAGCACCCTTTTCAAGCCATAAAGCAGCCTTCTAAGTAGTTTTTTCAGCATTATGCCTACAAAAAAAGTCTTTCTGTTTTGCTTAGGATGCGAGGATCCAAACTCATTCATTGTCTGCTTATCCTCTTTGTTTTGGTCTCCCTTAGTATTATGTCTCCTAGCAGAAGACTTAGCACACAAAAGGTGCTCAGTAAATGCTGTTGAATGAATGTCTGACCCTCTTAACCTAGACCAAGCAGAAAGTTCCCTCAACAATAGAAATAAGCACCTGCAGAAAGAATAAGCACCAGCAGAAAGTTCTGAACAATAGAAAGCCTATGAACAGATAACCAGAAAGAAATACAGATATCCAGATTTTTATAAGTACCTACCCCAATTTTTCTTTAGCTCTAATCTCTCTTGGTCAATGCTTACTTTTGGTCTGCTTTATAGAACAAGAATATACACCAGCACCCACCTAACTGAAATCTCTGTGGAGACCACCACACCAGCTTATGTTATAAACTGATTTGTAATATATGGCTGAATATTTTCTCTTGACTCGCTGCCTTTAACTTGGCACTGTTTACATAATTCCTTCACACTGGTATCCTAAGTTTTGTATTTTTTAAGTTATGCTAGTAAGGTATAAGTAAAAAAAAATAAAGACTACAAACACTACGATCCACTTTCACTATTTTATAGCATCTTTTACTCCTGTGGTAAAGCCAAGTCAAAGCATTGGACATGTTAAATGAAGGCCCATGGACTATGAAGAGGTCTATACAGCTCTCTGAGGGTGAGAGACAATACAATTTTTTATATGCATGGGTCCCTCTGATAAACTCAGATTCTCCTCTCCAGAAGTGGAAAAATTGAAGCAGTGTCCTTTACTGGTTCTTATATCTTTACTCTTTCATCTCCAAATCTCTCAAATGTCGTCCCCCCCCACACACACACACACACACACACGAGAGAGAAAGTGAGTTTTGTTGCAAGTAGCAAAAAGGCAAAATCATGGTGGCTTAAAGGAGATAGAAGTTTGTTTTTCACTCAGGTAAAAATCTGGATGCAGACAGGTCAAACTGCTCCACAAAGCATAGATTCCACCTTTTTACTCCATCTTGTGGAGGGAATCTCCCTTCCCAAGGACATCATCCTAGCCACGCTTTCTGTTGGCCAGTCAGCAGGAAGGGTAAAGGCAGAAAGAAGGGGACAGGGCAGCACCTGTCTTTTAAGGAACTCTCCTAGATCTTCCACTGACACTTCTATTTTCATCTCTTTGGCCTGAACCTAAACACATGACTACGTTCAACAATAGTGAAGGCTCAGAAATGTCATTTTCATTTTTTCACTGTGTGACACATTTAGGTTTTATTAATGAGAGCAGAGAGGAGAATGAATATTGGCTGAAAACTAGCAAGCTACATAGGTTCCTCTTTATCGCTCCCATGATGTAATATGTGAGATTTTTCAAAGGTACAGGGTAGATTCCTTTTCTCCTCCAACCACCCTATATTACCTTTCTCCCTACCCTTTTTTTTTTTTTTTT